CCATACAGCAGACCTATAAAGTGCTGCTGGCGCGTCTTCCAACTCCTGTTCTTTCCCACTCGCCATACCCACACAATTCTCCACAATTACTGATTTTATTCTGCTACACATATATATATATATATATTAGTCTAATTTATCAAGGTGTTAATCAGTCAGTATTTAATAAAACTGGAATATCATGATGTCCTTTTTTAAATCTTATTTAAATCTTATTTAAAAATAAAAACATTCCTGTCAACAGAAGATTATCAGTCGATTATCTTTAGATGAACTGATTGATGATCAAAGTTATTGATGAATGAATCTTAGCTTATATTGGTTGTTTTAATGAAAGAGGGGCGCAGGGTCCAGGCTTTACCCCAGTGGGGACCCGGACCGCGGTGGGTGGGGGCCTCACAGCCGTCGGGGGTCTTCCAGCCGCTGCAGCAGCAGATCCAGTGCGGCTCATCGGCCTCCCGGTGCTGGAAGGCGGCCTCTGGCTCCACATGATGCCTGGAAAGCAAGCAGGACCATTGATCAGGGATCAGGCTGAAACCTTCTCTTCTATCACAGGTTTTACGGCATTTTAACCTTTTTTAGAGAAAATATCCAGATTTACAGACAAAAATGGCTGCAAGTCAGGATACATGGAAAATACATCCAGGGGCGCAAAGAAGAAATATATGTGGAACATCGACCTGCTATAGAAGGTTATAACATTCAACTACATTAAACCAAATAAATAAAAAATAGAAATTATAAGAATACTTATAAAATAAAAACAAGGTTATAAAATAAAATAATAAAGTTTAACATGAGGGGAGAATTCAGTCTTTGTTTAGCCGTTTCCTTCTGTAGAGTTTTAGGAAATCAGAGATTATTTGTGCTTTAGGACTTTTCTGAATCTTTAATGATTTTATATAAATATTAAACTATTTTAAGAAAACAACAAGTTTGGGGGATGATTTGGGAATTCCAATTTAATGACTGTAAAATGTAGTTTAGTGCAGAGCTCATCAGCTTTACTGCAACATTAGAGCGACGTCGTCTCTGCAGATAAATGTTGGAATGAAGATAAATGTTTAATCTGTTTATGGAAACGTTTGCATCAATGAGCAGCAGAAGATCAGCAGCTCTGCAGTTTCTGTCTCATCATCAAAGCCGACTCCCTTATTCTCTAGAGGAATAAATGTTGTTCATTACAGTGGGGCAAATGGGAGAGTTAGATACATTGTTCTTAGTTTGATTATTTAACATTTTTATTTAGTTTTTCAGGGTAAAGGTAATTAAAACATTTCTAATAAAATGTTGCTGACAGAGCAGCTAATTGTGGGTTTATTGGATGAAAGGCCAAAAGGTGAAAATGATAAATTATCTCTATATAATTTATTGCAGTCTGACTCTAAAGGTTTGAAATGAATTTTCCAGCACAGGAGGATTAGTTTAACAGTTTGTCTACATTTAAATTTACTCCCAGAATAAATTATAATCCTCCAGTTTTGTTGAACCTTGGAATAAAAAACCAAAGAATCTTCAGAGTTTGATCCAAGATTTTAACTCATTTATTGTAGGCGTCACATCCTCCATCTTTAAGCAAACTGCTGTTTTTCATAGACTGAGGTCTGATGCTCACACCTGAAAATACTCCGGATTATGGTCCCACAGAGCGGCACAACCGAACCATCAGCTACGGGGCCACCAGGGGCCACCAGGGCCCAGCCGGGCACAGCAGGGGCCACCAGGGGCCGGAGCTCATGGTAGCCGCGGCCCGTTTGCCCGCTGCGGCAGGCGGGTGGAAGCTTACAGCCACTGGGGCGGGTTCGGTCGCTCCGTCCCCCGCTGGCTCCGGACCCGCAGCTGATGGTTCGGTTCGAACGCCGGTCCGGTCCGGTCCGGTCCGGTCCGGTCCGGTCCGGTCCGGTCCAGTCAGCCCCCCTTACCTTGATCTCCTCCTGCTGCTCCTTAGAGGTAGAAACACACACAAGCTAATGCATAGCAGCCCAGCGGTGTGGACGTTACCATGGTAACAGTCTTCTTCTTCTTCTTAAAGGGGTAACAAGTCTGCCTCCTAGCGGCCGCTGTAGCTCCCAGGTCTGCTGGGGTCCCGCTTCCTGCCAGTGACGTTACGCCACATGATTGGCTGAACGTTCCCTCATGATGTAAATCATTATGGTTTCCTAGACAACGATAATAACAATGCAGCGTCAGTGTGAGTCTGTAGCGTTAGCGTGGCTAATGACCCATGAAGTTTTAACTGATTGATAACAAAACTGAAAAAATGGCTGTGTTCGAAATCCAGGGCTGCATCCTCCACCTACTCCTACCTAGACTGCATCCTCCACCTACTCCTACCTTGACTGGATCCTTCCAAGTCCGTGAAAATAAGGACAGCGGAAGTGTTTTGGCTGTGAATCCGAACAAGTCTACCCTTCGGCGCCGTATGCTCTGTTGCTTAGCAACCGTGAAAGTTGACACACAAAGCAGGAAAAGAAGTTTTCAAAACTGTTTATTTATTTGTTATTATAAAGTGAACAAAGACTGATTTAATCCAGAGTGGAATAAAGGTTCCAACCACCGGGAGCAGGAAC